CCCAACCCCACCCCCCTGTGCTTCCCTCCAGCTTCGTGTGGGCGGTCGCTCCTGGGAGGCCTACCTGTGCCGCGCAACGACTCGCGGCCGAAGCTGAACAAGTGGTTCCACTACGCGTCGGTGTCGCTGAGAATCGAGCCCAGCAACAACACGGCCACGTGGGCGTTCAAGGAGCACTCCGACGTCGACTGGCGGGCCAACCTGACTGCCGTTGTTGATCAAGACTCACCTAGTATCTGCAGTGAGTGCTCCTGCTTGCTCTTTGCATTGAGTGCCTCTTCTGGTGCCTGCAGTGTCTGCAGGTGTCTGCACTGTCTGCACTGTCTGCACTGTCTGCACAGTCTGCACTGTCTGCACTGTCTGCACTGTCTGCACAGTCTGCACTGTCTGCACAGTCTGCACTGTCTGCACTGTCTGCACTGTCTGCACAGTCTGCACAGTCCTGCACTGTCTGCACAGTCTGCACCGTCTGCACCGTCTGCACCGTCTGCACGTCTGCACCGTTGCACCGTCTGCACCGTCTGCACCGTCTGCACCGTCTGCACCGTCTGCACTGTCTGCACTGTCTGCAGAAGCGATCTTCACTTGTAAGAGTGTCAGCATCGGTCCTTTGGTTGGCAGACAGAACAAACGTGATATAAGGTTGGTCTTGAGACGTCTCAAAACCAACCTTATATGACAGACAGACACGAGCCCAAACCCCTCGCCCTGTCGTCCGTTAACCTCCCCTTCACCCGCTCACCCCTGTCCCCACCTCCACTCCCCCACCCAACCAGGTTCCTGCTGGGCCGTCACTGCAGCCACGACCATCGACGACGCGTTACTGGGTAGCACACCTCACCCCCCAACCCACCCGCACTCTCCACTTCCTCTTCCTTCCTCCCCCCACACATCCCTTCCCCTCAGGTTCCTGCTGGGCCTTTGCAGCAGCCACAGCCATCAATGGCACGCTACTAGGTTTCGGCATCCAGCCAGCCCCCCATCCCCATCGACCAAACCCATGCATCTCCTCCCGTCGTTCTCTCCCTCCTCCCCCCCCCCCCCCCCCCCCACACCTCTCTCTCCTCCTTCCTCAGGTTCCTGCTGGGCCTTCGCAGCGGCCACAGCCATCGACGGCGCGCTGCTGGGTTTCGGCATCCAGCCGCCGCAGCGCGTGTCGGTGCAGCAGATGCTGACATGCGGCAGCGGCGATTGCGAGGGGGGGTTCACCACGGATGCGTTTGAATACGCCATCGGCACAGCCGCTGGTGTCGGCTGCTGTCTACCCCTAATGTGGCCAATGACAGCACAACATGCAACAGCGCCCTTTGTAAGTAGCACCACGTGCGACAGCAGGCATTGTAAGCAGCAAACCACCGCATTGCCACAACATTTCCGTTGCAAATCTAGCATCCATGCTCATCATTCCCGAGGTGACGGTGACGGGGGGATCCACCACGGATGCTTTTGAATGCGCCTTTCGCAGCCAGACCCCCAGTTTCAGGTTGCTGTCACAAGGAGAGGCATGCGCCTTTCACCCAAGGAGAGCATGCGCCTTTCACAAGGAGAGGCATGCGCCTTTCACAAGGAGAGGCATGCGCCTTTCACAAGGAGAGGGCATGCGCCCCTATGTGGTAGTTTTTGAGGACCCCCTATGTGGTAGTTTTGAGGCGCCTCAAAACTGTCTAGCCTATGTGGTTACAGCGCGGCAAGAGAGGCAGTCTTCTGGGGCGCATGCCTCTCCTTGTGCCCATGCCCCTGCCCCTCGCTTTACTCACCTCCCCGCGTCCCCGGTCCCTCGCTTCCCTATCCCCGCTTCCCCGCTTCCCCGCTTCCCCGCTTCCCCGCTTCCCCGCTTCCCCGCTTCCCCGCTTCCCCCGCTTCCCCGCTCCCCGCTTCCCCGCTTCCCCGCTTCTCCGGTCCCTTGCTTCCCTATAATCCGTGTGTAATGAGTCGACTCAAAATCGACTCATTACACATAAGTCAGATCCAAGCGAACTAGTTCGGAGTGGCCAAGGTGTGGTTCTACGCGCGGGCGAGTCTGATGGGCCCCATCGGGCACAACCCTCCCTTGATGCCGTCCCTGCACTCCCCGCCCTCCCTCCCTTCCCCACCGTTCAGGTCCAGGCGAACCAGCCTGGAGTGGCCAAGGTGCGCTTCTACGAGCGCGCCAACCTGCTGGGGCCCATCGGCTCATCCTGGCGCTGCAGTTCCAACCGGTGGTGGTGCACGTGGAGGCGGACCAGGACTGCTTCCTTGACTACAACGGGGTGAGTAGGATGGGGTGGGTTTTGCCTGCATGGGGTGGGTGCAGTGCTTACTTGCTGGGGTGGCTGTTGCCGCATCAGTTCCAGCCGGTGGTGGTGCACGTGGAGGCGGACCACGATGGACTGCTTCCTTGATTATAATGGGGTGAGCAGGATGGAAGTGGGTACAATAGGGAGGGTGATTGCACCAGCTGTGGCTGCACCATCTGTGATTGCACCAGCTGTGGCTGCACCAGTTGTGGCTGCACCACCTGTGGCTGTACCACCTGTGGCTGCCCCAGTCAGTTCCAGCCGGTGGTGGTGCGCGTGGAGGCGGACCAGGCTGCTTCTATGGAGCGCTCTTGTTAACTTTCCAAAACCCCTCCCCTGCTTCTCCTCCCTCCCCTTCCACTACTCACTGCCCTATCTCTTCCCCCTGCCTTCAATCCATTCACCCCTTCCCCCCCAGACGTACATCTTCACGGATAAGACGTGCTTCGCCAACCGCATGGTGAACCACGTGGTGCTGCTGGTGGGGTACCACCTGGAGGAGGCGGGGAAGCCGGGGAGCTTCTTCATTCTGAGAAACAGCTGGGGAACCACCTGGGGCGACCAGGGCCACATGAAAATCGGCTTTGAGCGCTCGCCCTTTGGGTACTGCGGCATGTGGAGTGAACCGGGCTACTACCCCTTGCTGCCTGGTGAGGACTAGGGGTACTACCCCATGCTGTCAGGTGATTTAGCGCCCCCACACCCCCCAGAACAGATCCTGTAGCGCCCTTCCAGGATCTGAAGTCCCATGTCCTCACCTCCCCCTCTCCCCTCTCCCCTCTCCCTCCCCCCAGCCGTGCCTGGCAAGTGGTGTGCCGGCTTCCCATGTGGCGCGGGGGCATGCCACGACCCGCCTCTGCAGCAGTCGAAGCCGGGGGAGCCACCCAAGTCCTACAGCTGCGACTGCGGCAAGGAGCCGTTCCTCATCCCCGCGGTGAACGTGGACGGAAGCGATACCTGTATAGTCAGTAAGTGATGCGCTCTTGTGGTGCGCTCGCTCTTGTGGTGCGCTCGCTCTTGTGGTGCACTCCCTCTTGTGGTGCGCTCGCTCTTGTGGTGGGCTTTTGAACTGCCGTTGTCGGTATAGTCAGTGGGGCTCTTGCGGTGGGCTTTTGTGATGGGCTCTTGTGGTGGGCTCAACTCCCATCCCTCCCCCCCCCTCCCCCCTCACTCCCCCCCTTCCCTCTCGCAGAGACGGTGTGCATGCTGCAGATGCAGAACCCGTGCGGCGCGGGCAAGTGCGTAGACGACGGCATCGGTGGCTACAACTGCTCATGCCCCGCCAACTACACCTCCACTGCTCGTCCGGACGGCACCGCCACCTGCATTCCTCGTATGCCACCAAGATTCACCTTTCGATTCACATTTTGGCTCTGCCACCTGCATTCTCCATGCGTCTTGTGCATTCCTCTCATGCTTTCCGTGTTTCCATTCCTCTCGATAGCCATCCTTGAGTCGACTTCCAAGCTGCATGTGCCTGCCAAGTACGCGCCTCTTTCCTCCTCCTCTCATCTCACCCTTCTCTCTTCTCCTACCCTCTCCCCTCCTCTCCCCTCCTCTCCCCTCCACCAATCACAGCGCCCATCGCCTCCACCACGTACACAATCCAAGAGGGCGACAGGTGTGACTCTATCTGTGCCGCCAACAACATCACCACCGAAGAATTCCAAAAGATGAATAAGGTAGGCCTTCTATCCCTAGCTGCCCCTCACATTGTGGCGTTGAACGGACTCAAAATATACCATCTGTGCCGCCAATAACAACAACGTCACCACCGTTGAATCCCGACACATGAACACGGTGGGTCTTCTATGCGTTCACATGCACATTCACATGCACATGCACACATGCACATGCACATGCACACACACAAGCACATGCACATGCACACACACATGCACATGCACACGCATGTACACATGCACATGCACACGCACATGCATACGGACATGCACATGCACATGCACACACCAGCAACATCAACACCGCTAAATTCCACGAGATGAACACAGTCACTCCTGAGAGTGCAGTGTGTGCATGCGCATGCACATGCTTGCACTTACTCTGACCTTGTCTATTCGCACTTCACATGCAACTTGTGCTGTGGCAACTTTCTTGCCAAACCCCACATGCTGTTCCCCTCGCATTCCACTCAGCCCCCCCATGCCACCCCACCCGCCGTCCATGTCGCCCCACCCCACCTGCCTCCCCCCTTCACCCCATGCCACCCCACCTGCCTCCCCCCTTCCCCCCATGCCACCCCACCTGCCTCCCCCCTCCCCCCCATGCCATCAGGCCATCAACTGCAGCAGCAACCTCACAGTGGGCGTGACAGTCAATGTGACGTCAGCATCGGCTGTGAAGATGTGCATCAACTACTACACCGTGCAGCCGGTGAGTTCACATGCCCTACCTTGCCATGCCATGCCATGCCCTACCTTGCCATGCTCATGCTCATGCCATGCTCGTGCTCATCATACTCATGCCATGCCATGCCATGCCATGCCATACCATGCCCACCACATGCTCATGCTGGTTCTCCTGTCATGACATGTCCTCGGCTCCCTGATCCATGGCCTCGGCTCCCTGAACCATGTCCTCCGCTCCCTGAACCATGTCCTCGGCTCCCTGAACCACATGCTGGTTCACATGTCACGCCTTCTGCCGAACCTGTCGCCACTTATTTCTCTTGCGTTCAACTTTCTTTACTGAAACCTTTCGCACTCTCTTCCCCCCAGGACGACACGTGCACGTCAATTGCCACCAAGTTTTCTCTCACCAACCTCACCGCTCTCAACCGTGCCATTAACTGCAACAACCTCACAGCCACGCCACAGGTAAGCCACTCTCAGCTAAGCCCCCTTCCTGTTGCCTTGCTTTCCCCGTTGCCTCTCTCTCCTCCCTGTCTCACTATCGCACTTGCTCCACTCTCAGAAAGTTCTCCCTGTCTCCACTCCCACGTGTCCACCAGGAGTGTGTGTGTGTAGGGCCAGGCACTATCGGTGTGCACGGAGTGCTACACAATGAGAGACACGCTCTCACCTTTCTGCTTTCCCCCTCCTCTCGTCCGCCAGGTGTGCGTGGGAGGAGGGTCAAGCTCTGCCCAAAGCCTCAGTCACGACGGTGTGCACGGAGTACTACACGCTGAGCGCCACTCTCACTCCCCCCTCTCTCTCCTCTCCGCGATGCCCCATTCTCGTCCCTCTCCGTCAGGTGTGCGTGGAGGAGGGTCAAGCCATTCCCAAAGCCTCTGTCACCACAGTGTGCACGGAGTACTACACACTGAGCGCCACCGACACATGTGCGAGCGTGCAGAGCACTTATGGCCTCAAGGCGTCCGAGCTCTACAAGCTCAACCCCGGGCTCAACTGCAACAACCTCATCGACTACTCCGACTCGTCGGTGAGTGGAGGGAGATAGAACCTCGGCTCTCCACTCAGCTGCTCTCCATGCTGCCCCTTGCTCGTACTTGCCCGTGGTCAGCCGAGGTTCTCCGTGTCGCTGGCATGTCACAGCATTTCTCCCCCTCACCTCTCCCCCCTCACCTCTCCCCACTCACCTCTCCCCCCTCACCTCTCCCCCCTCACCTCTCCCCCCTCACCTCTCCCCCTCACCTCTCCTCCCTCACCTCTCCCCCCTCACCTCTCCTCCCTCACCTCTCCCCCTCACCTCTCCCCCTCACCTCTCCCGCTCACCTCTCCCCCTCACCTCTCCCCCTCCCCTCTCCCCCTAACCTCCTCTTTCATCTCTCCCACTCTCAGCTCCTCCTCTACCTCTCTGCATGGCTCAAGCCAAGTTCGGCACACCTCCAAGTGCAGCAAGCACTATATGGTCAAATCCGGCGACCTGTGTTTCGCACGGTCCTTCTCACCCCTTTTCACCCCTTCTCTTCGCTTCTTTCCCTCTCAGCTCTGTGTAGCACAAGCCAAGTTCGGCGCCTCCAAGTGCAGCAAGCGGTACACAGTGAAATCCGGCGACACGTGTGCGTCCCTCATCTACAAGTACTTCCGCGGGAAGACCTCGTACGTGAGCAAGCTCAACAGCGGCTACGTGTGTACGTCGTCCACGCTCTACGTCGGGCTCTCTCTCTGCGTCTACAACTTGTAACCACCTCCACTGCCACCGCCACCGTGTTTACTTCATTAATATCTCGTGTGTCAGCTCACTCAGCAGTAGCTGCGCCTGCTCCTCCGCTCTCGATGTCGGCTTCTCGCTCTGCGTGTACAACTTGTGGCCGCCGGCGCCCGGTTGTGTTTTGATAGGCGTAATACTTCTGCTTGTACTGTACGTATGTAGTATAGTATGTATGGCACCCGTTTTCCCCCACTGAGATGGTAAGCCGTCGCCAGCGAGCATGGATTTTGATTTGCACCTATACGTATTGTAGCCAATTCATTTGTATTGTAGCCAATTCATTTGTAGCGTAGCCAATTCCTTTGCGTTGTAGCCCTTTTCCAGTGCCAGTTCCTTGATGGATACAGTAAAACATTCAGCAGGTTTTTATGAACAAAGTGAAGTGAAGCATCACTGGTTCTGTATGTAACACAACTAGTAGAAAGAAAGCAAGCAGGGTGCTGTAACCTGTTGGAGTACCGTAACTAGTCGGCCCGTAATCTCTTATACTGCTGTGCTTTTCACTTCGTCGTCTACAGCAGCGAAGATGGTAGAGAGGTGCCTCGATTCAACGTGCACCTCCACAAGCCACGCCACCAGGCACACCTGCCACGGCAGCGGGATAAATACAAGCACAGAGAGTGCCTTGAGCTTTGGACGAACAGACAAGCACAGTGTGCTGTGCTGTGGGTGGTAGAGAGGTGCCTCGAGTTTACGGGCATCTCCACAAGCCATGCCACCAGGCACACCTCCCATGGAAGAGGGATAACAAGCGCAGAGGAAAACGTGCCGTGCAAATAGCATAATTACTTGATAATCTACGACATTACCTGTAGTTTAGCCAGGGTTGTGAGGGTCTTGAAGGTTGTGAGAGGGTTGTGAGTGGATTGACAAGGTTGTGAGGGTTGCGTTGCGAGGGTTGAGAGGATTTGTTAGAATGATGTGGATTCGACTCAATAGCATACTAAAGACAGGTGACTTTTGAGTCGCAGAATAAAAACAGCGCACCTGTAGCTGCTGTGGCGTGGGCGAGCAGTCAAGCATTCCTGACCGCTGCAGCTGCTGCTGCGCCACTGCCCACTCACATCCCTTGGCCAACCCAAACCCCTCTCCCCACCCATGCCCCCCCCTCCCATATGCGCTTCCAACATGGCATTTCCCCCATTTACATGTTTCTCGTGCCCTCTTCCCTCCCTCTCTCCGCCAATCACAATATCCTCTCCACATGGACATCCTGCTGCTTCTCTCGGTGCTGCTTCTGTTGCTGCTGCTGCAGTCTCTCTTGTTGCGGCTGCCTGTGATGTTGATACACCGCTATCTGCTTCTGCTGCTCCAATTCTGCATCCACCTGCGCTCGCTCCTTGCTCCGTGACAACACCAGTTGTTTGTATTGCAGCAACCGCTGGGTCAGCAGCAGCCGCAGGGTGAGCAGCAACTTCAGAAGGAGGCACAGCAGCAGGTTGCGAGCCGGTGCATGGCAAGACGAGTGCAGGGATGTTAAGAGGACCACGGCAGGTGGTGATGCCAGTGGTGGTGTGTGTACTGGTGGTGTGTGTACTGGAGGTGTGAAGGCTGACTGCTGCAGTGAGAGAAGCGACAATGAGGCGCTGGTGGGGAGAGATGGAATGCAGATGGAGGGAAGGGGATGGACTGTGAGAGTGTGATGGTGCAGTGATACAGACAAGAAGGATGTAAACATTGAGAAACGACAATAACGGAACAACGTGATAAAAGGGGAGGAGAAGCCTAAAAGACCTTGACGCAAAGCAAGACTTGAAGTGCATGGGCGATTAGCTAAGTGATGCATGTTCGTCACTGCTTCTTCTTCACCAGAAGCTCCTTTTGAAGGGGCTCCTTTTTATTAAAGGAGCTTCGTTTGAAGGGCCTCCTTCACTGCAGCTGCAATGCCCAGAGCCCACTAGGTGACTAGGGGTGGACATTGCACCCCTAGCCCACCCTTAGTCGACTCCAAAGCGTCTAACAGCCCAGTTTGAGTATTGCACTCCTTACCTTCACCATCAACTCCCTCCGAAACATGCCTGCAATGCCCAGAGCCCAACTCTCTGATGCACGCACAAGCAGGGAGACAAGGGGGGTCGAGAGAGAGGGAAAAGAGGGAGCGCAACCTTTACGAGTCCCTTTTTTCCGCTGAGACTAGGCGAATTTGAGACAGAGGAGAGGTGCGCGCAAGGAGAGGGGAGGGAAGAAACAAGGGAGGGAGGGGAAGGAGGGATTGGTGGTGCAATTGAGAGCATGGGACAGAAGAGATTGATGGTGCAATTGAGAGCATGGGACAGAAGAGATTGATGGTGCAATTGAGAGCATGGGACAGAAGAGATTGATGGTGCAATTGAGAGCATGGGACAGAAGAGATTGATGGTGCAATTGAGAGCATGGGACAGAAGAGATTGATGGTGCAATTGAGAGCATGGGACAGAAGAGATTGATGGTGCAATTGAGAGCATGGGACAGAAGAGATTGATGGTGCAATTGAGAGCATGGGACAGAAGAGATTGATGGTGCAATTGAGAGCATGGGGAAGAAGGGATTGTCGGTGCAATTGAGAGCATGGGACAGAAGGGACTTGCATGGAAGTAGATGCACGGCTGATCGACAGGATGCACGGGGAGGTGAGGGAAGCACATACATGGCTAGCACAGCATGCATAGGAGACACACACACACACCGACCGAAGCAGGGAAGCAGAGGCGACGAACTCAAGGCAGTGAGCGGCAATGAACCAAAGGCTGTGAGCGGCAACGAACCAAAGGCTGTGAACGGCAGGGTGGAGAAGATGGCTTCATCAGGGTACATTCGGCTCTCCTGCCACGCCTCATTTTCGTCCCACACGGCAGCTGATGGGGAGGAGGACACTGAAGTTGCTGACGCGGATCTAAATTGTGATGGTGATGGTGCTGGTGTTGGTGCTGGTGATGGCACTGGTGCTGACTTAGTTTCTTCTGAACAGAGGGCCGTTGATTTAGGTGATTCAGGGGAAGGCGGCATGTGGGGGGGATGGCAGATGGGCAGCAGGGCAGGGCGGAGAGAGTCGACAGCTGCAATCTGTTGGGAAGCAGGGGGGAAGAAGAGAGGGCAGGGGATATTGTAGAGAGTGAGTGACAGAATACTCCCTGCCATGGTGGAAGGTGATAAGAGTGAGTGAAGGCTGGAGGATACTTCCCGACCTCCCTCCTCCTCACTTTGAAAATACCTCGCACACATACACAGACAGAGCATACCACAAGCTCGCCACAGTCAGAGCATACCACAAGCTCGCCACAGTCAGAGCATACCACAAGCTCGCTACAGACAGAGCATACCACAAGCTCGCCACAGACAGAGCATACCACAAGCTCGCCACAGACAGAGCATACCACAAACTCGCCACAGACAGAGCATACCACAAGCTCGCCACAGACAGAGCATACCACAAGCTCGCCACAGCCAGAGCATACCACAAGCTCGCCACAGACAGAGCATACCACAAGCTCACCACAGACAGAGCATACCACAAGCTCACCACAGACAGAGCATACCACAAGCTCGCCGATCTCTCTGGCTGGCTCTCGCCACCCCTTCCTGTCTCATGTTTCATGGCACTGGGGAATTCACATGGGAATCATATCGAGTGCCACATGCCATGCCATGCCATGCCATGCAATCTCTCTCTGGCTGCCTCGCGCCACCCCTTCCTCTCTCGCCACCCCTTCCTCTCTCGCCACCCCTTCCTCTCTCGCCTTGAAGGCATCTGCAAACCCATGAGGGTCGTCCCTCTCCCTCTTCCCCTCCATTCCCCTCTCTATCCCCACACTCTCTCCTGCAGCTCACAAGGTCATTCAAGCTGCGGTGCAGCGCTGATAGATCCTCCTCCTGATGGTTCACAGGGGAATTGAATCATGTGCCATGCCATGCCATGCCATGCCATGCCATGTACTCCCATGCCATGCCATGCCATGCCACGCCATGCCATGCCATGCCATGCCATGTACTCCCGTGCCGTGCCATGCCATGCCATGCCATGTACTCCCGTGCCGTGCCATGCCATGCCATGCCATGCCATGCCATGCGGTGCAAGGCCGCATGCCACACCATGAACGGGACACATACAGCAGGAGACGGCAGTGGGAATATGAGGATGGGGAGAAGGGAGAAGGGCAAGAGAGAGAGAGAGCAGGGGTTTGGGGGAAGGCGAGGGAGAGGGATGTGAGTGGCGGAGGAGGATGCCAGATGCCGGGACGAGGATGGGAGGGATGGGAGGGATGGGAGGGATGGGAGGGATGGGAGGGATGGGAGGGATGGGAGGGATGGGAGGGATGGGAGGGATGGGAGGGATGGGAGGGATGGGAGGGATGGGAGGGATGGGAGGGATGGGAGGGATGGGAGGGATGGGAGGGATGGGAGGGATGGGAGGGATGGGAGGGATGGGAGGGATGGGAGGGATGGGAGGGATGGGAGGGATGGGAGGGATGGGAGGGATGGCCCGGGACGTGGCGGAGGGAGAGAGTGAGGGAGGGGGTGGGGAGGCACAAAGAGCCAGGCGAGCATGAGTCACAGTACCATGAGGCGAGCATGAGTCACAGTACCATGAGGCGAGCATGAGTCACAGTACCATGAGGCGAGCATGAGTCACAGTACCATGAGGCGAGCATGAGTACAAGGCGAGCATGAGTCACAGTACCATGAGGCGAGCATGAGTCACAGTACCATGAGGCGAGCATGAGTCACAGTACCATGAGGCGAGCATGAGTCACAGTACCATGAGGCGAGCATGAGTCACAGTACCATGAGGCGAGCATGAGTCGCAGTACCGTGAGGCGAGCATGAGTCGCAGTACCATGAGGCGAGCATGAGTCACAGTACCGTGAGGCGAGCATGAGTCACAGTACCGTGAGGCGAGCATGAGTCACAGTACCATGAGGCGAGCATGAGTCGCAGTACCGTGAGGCGAGCATGAGTCACAGTACCATGAGGCGAGCATGAGTCGCAGTACCATGAGGCGAGCGATCTTCTCTGCCGCCGTTTCAATGAGCCCTCCCATGCCTCCCAGTGCCCCCACATCCTTGCCCGGTAGCTGCCTGCGCGCTCAGGTGAAGGGGGGTGGAGGGGAGGGAAGGGGTGGAGGGGAGGGAAGGGGTGGAGGGGAGGTGTGGATGCCGAAGCCTCATCTCTCTCTTCCCCATGGTCCCTTGCATGCTTCCCAGAGCCCCAGCGCCCTTGCTGGGTAGCTGCCTGCGCACATTTGAGAGGGGGGACGAGGGGGGCGGCCAGGTCACCTGGCCGTGGGGAGGAGCGGGAAAAGGCGGAGGAGTTCCGAACCTCCCGCATTCACCGCAACAACTACATAAAACACTCAAGTGCTCACTTCGACACCTGTACTCGCTATAGTTGTTCTCACTATAGCTACTGCTTACCGCGACATCTGGACTCACTTCAGCTGCACCAATCGGTTGACGACAGCTGTCGCCGCGCGCAGCCCCTCCGCCGAGGCGGTGTCCCACTTCCCCCGCGCGCCAGACGCGGCGGAGAATGCGGACCGCACGCGGCGTTGCAGGCGGCGCCGCCACAGGTGGAAGGGGAGCGGCGGAGGGGGCGGGTTCTGGGAGGATTCAGCAGTCCGCGGAGGGGGTTGCGCGGAAGCGCCGGGAGGCGCGGAGTCCATAACGGGAAGGTGCGTGTAGCAACTCGAACTCTAACCAGCAACGCCGAAGGCGGAAGCGGGAGGCGCGGAGTCCATCACTGGAAGCGTGCGTCTCGTAACCTTTGAGTCGACTCAAAAGTCACTTGGTTCTAATCTCGTCCAGCGATTCGCAAGGCGGACGCGGGAGGCGCGGAGTCCATGCCTAACCGCTGCGGCTAGAGGCGTCTGGAAAGCTGGGGGAGTCTAACGAGCAGAGTGCGGAAGGCGGAGGAAGACTGGCGCACAATGGCGCTGGGGGAGAGGCGCAGGGGGGGGGGGGATAGAGTAGCGGGAACTCCCAAGGGTAGTGGTAGTGGTTGGTTCAGAGTAGGGGTGCTCTTATCGTTTGGTTTGGGCTGGCGAGTTTGAAAGCGCATACAATGTCAGGCAGTCAGGGTTTAGCAGACATTTGAGGTGGCTGAGTCTCACGACCCAAAACCCGAGAGGCAGATGTTGATTGCACAGCGAGCCATTCGTGCATCATTCCGTTTCGTCCTTTGCGACTCACAGATAGACTCCGACTCTATCCATTCGCCGTCCTTTCCTTTCCGCAGCCTGGAAAAAGTGTGCCGTCGCCGCCGTCGATTCCGCGCGACGTTCTAGTTCCCTTCTTGTAGGCATGCCAAGAAGAGTCTATTTTTGACTCCTCACGCATGGTTCTAATCCCCTTCTTGTCAGAATAAGCCTCGTCAGACCCGTGTCCCTCCGATCCGCTCACGCTGATCCGTGCGCCACTGATCCGATTTACGAATCCCGGTGCCTGAGAGTTTCTGTTCCCTCCTCCCTCAAAACCACTCTTCCTTTTAGATTGCTACATCTGAAAGACGACTTCTGCGCCCAATCTCCCCGCGATGGAGAGCGTGGGCTTCGACGCGCGAAAGGCGGCGGTGTTGGCGGCGCTCGCGTCGGTGGAGCGCGACAGGTCGCTCAAGGGCGGCCTGGATGCGCCGATTGCGGATCTGGTGGCGGAAATCAACGGCCACGATGACCTCTTCACCACCAGCTCCTGCTCCGGCCGCATCTCGCTCCTCCTCGAACCGCACGCACCCGCTGCCGCCGCCGCCGCCGCTGGTGCTGGTGCCGGTTCTGGTGCTGGTGCCGGCGGGCCGTCTGGAGGGGAAGAGGGGGAGGGACCGGGGGAGGGGGCAGGCGGGGAGACGAGGGTAAAGAAGAAAGCGCGGGTACGTGGAAGGACGAGGAAAGCGGGGAGGGTAAGATGGAGCGCATGCTTAAAGCCCCTGTCCGCAGAACCCAATCACCCGTGTGAGCCACAAGCAGCCGCCCATTCGCTGCTCCATTGGATTCGAGCGCAGCGCAGGGAGGTGGAGCAAGATGCGCTCCGTCCGCGTTACTAGCACATGCTACATGCTGTCCATCTCCCCCTGACAAGTGAAGCTATCTTTACTTTAGACATCTCAAAGTTATCGCCTCCTTCACTGCGGTGCTGTCCCCTTACGACCCCATCTACCACCGGCAGGGCGGCGAGTGGCTGCTGGTCAGCCACGACCCCATCGACCCGACAGACCTCGTTAGAGCCGTCTTCGCTACAAGCACTGCGTGCGCGGGTGCCACTACCCCCCCGCCCTCTCTCCCTGGCGAGCTCGTGTTCCGTTTCGAGCCGCTCATCCTCGCCCTCGAGTGCCGCTGCCTCGCTGCGGCGCAGCAGCTGGTGTCGTGCGCCATCAGGGCGGGCTTCAGAGAGTCAGGTGCGGGCGTAGTGGTTGAAGGGGATAGGGGTTAGGGCGTGGAACATCGGGAGTGGAAAAGCCGTTCGAACGGACTTTTCAAAAAGGTTCAACACGGTACTGATGGTTTTAATGAGATGCGGTCTGGTGCAGTATGGCGGCCGTTCGGATTCGGCCGTTCGAACAGCCGATGTACCACGCCCGTAGGGGTTTTGGGGTTTGGGGTTTGGGGGTTTTGGGGGGTTCGGGGTTTGGGGGTTTGGGGGTTTGGGGTTTTTGGGGTTTGGGTGATGCTTTCATCTGCCTGCCGGCTTCACGAATCACGAGGTGCTGCGCTACGCAGTGAAGCATCCACCACACAGTTTATGCTTAAAAATAAACTGGAGATCGTAAGGAGGCCAGGCCAGGCCAGGAAGGAACCCGGCTTGATCTCCGTGCCTTCCCGTGCAAGCTGTACCCTCACCTTCCCCTCCTCCCTCCCTCCTCCCCACTCCCCTCCTCTCCCCCCCCCCCCCCAGGCCTACCAGTGTGAGCCACAAGCGCATCATCGCTGCCATCCGCTGCTCCATCCGTTTCGAGAGGACCAGGTTATCAGATACGCTCTCCCCGCTCTCTCTGCTCTCTCCACTCTCTCCACTCTCCCGGCTCTTCCCGCGCTCCCCTCCCCCTTCCCCTCCCCCACCCCCCCCCCCCCCCAGGCATCACCAGCGTCAGCCACAAGCGAATTATTGCAGCCATTCGCTGCTCCATCCGCCTCGAGGCGCCGCTGACAGCTAGCGGCATGCCATTGGTCGGGGAGGCGTTCGTGCGCCACCTGGCGGCGGTGGCCAATGGGAAGATGGCGCTCAACCGCGAGAGAACAGACCGGTTCAGGGCGAGGTTCAAGGAAGAGGTGAGGGCGTGGGGTGGTGGTGCTTGCTTGGAAGTCAGGTGACTGAAAAGGTTTGGGGTCTCGGGCTGAGGGTGGGCAATGGGAAGGTGACGCGATGCTCAACTGGGAGACAAGGGAATGCGATTAAAGCCTGCAGATGAGGGAGGGCGTGCCATGGCGTGGGTGAGTGAGCTTTACAATGCTGTGGATTAGGTTTCGGGTGCAGCACGGCCCATGGGGAGAATGGCACTTGATTTAGCGAATTGAGAGTGCTCCTGTCCAGACGGACTGAGAGCAGAGCAGTCCGTCGTTCCCCTCTTGCCCCTCTCCCCTCTCCCCTCTCCCCTCTCCCCTCTCCCCTCTCCCCTCTCCCCTCTCCCTCTCCCCTCTCCCCTCTCTCCCCTCTCCCCTCTCCCCTCTCTCCCCTCTCCCTCTCCCCTCTCCCCTCTCCCCTCTCCCTCTCCCCTCTCCCCTCTCCCCCTCTCCCCTCTCCCCTCTCCCCTCTCCCCTCTCCCCTCTCCCCTCTCCCCTCTCCCCTCTCCCCTCTCCCCTCTCCCCTCTCCCCTCTCTCCCCTCTCCCCTCTCTCCCCTCTCCCCTCTCTCCCCCTTGTCCCCTCTCTCCCCTCTCCCCTCTCTCCCTCTTGTCCCCTCTCTCCCCTCTCCCCTCTCTCCCTCTCCCCTCTCTCCCGTCTCCCCTCTCTCCCGTCTCCCCTCTCTCCCGTCTCCCCTCTCTCCCGTCTCCCCCTCTCTCCCCTCTCCCCCTCTCTCCCCTCTCTCCCTCTCTCCCTCTCTCCCCTCTCCCCTCTCTCCCCTCTCCCCTCTCTCCCTCTTCTCCCCTCCCCCTCTCTCCCGTCTCCCCTCTCTCCCGTCTCCCCCCTCTCTCCCTCTCCCCTCTCTCCCCTCTCCCCACTCTCCCGTCTCCCCCCTCTCTCCCCTCTCCCCACTCTCCCGTCTCCCCCCTCTCTCCCCTCTCCCCACTCTCCCGTCTCCCCCCTTTCTCCCTCTCCCCACTCTCCCGTCTCCCCCCTCTCTCCCCTCTCCCCACTCTCCCGTCTCCCCCTCTCTCCCCTCTCCCCACTCTCCCGTCTCCCCCCTCTCTCCCCTCTCCCCACTCTCCCATCTCCCCCTCTCTCCCCTCTCCCCACTCTCCCGTCTCCCCCTCTCTCCCCTCTCCCCCCTCTCTCCCCTCTCCCCCTCTCTCCCCTCTCCCCACTCTCCCGTCCCCCCCTCTCTCCCCTCTCCCCTCTCTCCCCTCTCCCCACTCTCCCGTCTCCCCCCTCTCTCCCCTCTCTCCATTCTCCCGTCTCCCCCCTCTCTCCCTCCCCCCCTCTCTCCCCTCTCCCCACTCTCCCGTCTCCCCCTCTCTCCCCTCTCCCCACTCTCCCGTCTCCCCCCTCTCTCCCCTCTCCCCCCTCTCTCCCTCTCCCCACTCTCCCGTCTCCCCCCTCTCTCCCCTCTCCCCCTCTCTCCCCCCTCCCCACTCTCCCGTCTCCCCCTCTCTCCCCTCTCCCCACTCTCCCCACTCCCCCCTCTCTCCCGTCTCCTCACTCTCCCCTCTCCCCACTCTCCCGTCTCCCCCCTCTCCCCACTCTCCCCACTCCCCCCTCTCTCCCGTCTCCTCACTCCCCCCTCTCTCCCCTCTCCCCACTCTCCCCACTCCCCACTCTCTCCCCTCTCCTCCACCTCCCTGACCCACCTCTACCCTCTACCCTGTCCCCTTGTCCCTCACTTGCCCCTCTTCCCCTTCTTCCCCCTCTCGTTCTCCCACCCCTCCCTTGTCGCAGTGCAGCTGTTCCAGCGTGGTCCATCCGTCATCCAAACCGTCCGAACCACTCGACCCAACACCCGGGCCACACCCTCACCCAGCGCCCCCTAAGCCATCTCATCCTAGGAAGGCGGCACGGCACAGCGTAAGAGAGCAGCAAGGGTTGGTGGATGGCCACGTAGCGCAACGCCAGGGGCGCCAGCTGGCACAGCGCCAGGTGGCAGTGCTGCGGAGAATAGGGGAGGTGGAGGGGAGGCTGGTGCTGGGGGCCAGGGATTCTGCCACAGGGGTCTCGAAATCTATCTCTGCTCTTTCTGCTGCTGCTGCTGGTGCTGCTGCAACAGTGCCAGCATCATCAGCACCAGCAGCAGCAGCGGCAGCAGCAGCAGCAGCAGCAGCAGCAGTGGCAGCAGATGCCGACATGCTGCCACTACAGGATGTGGCTGGTTGTTGCAGCAGCAGCGCGTGGGACATGCCCCAGGGATCAGCCCGACTAGGAAAGCTGGCAGTAGAGTCAGCTCAAGGACTGGATGATCTCTCCCTGCCTGGTAACCAGGCACATGACGGGCAGGTGCACGGGCAGGTGGTGAAGGTTTTAGGGCTGCCTGACGGCAGTCTTTTGAGGTGGGGCCATTCAGCTGTGACGGTTGGTGCAGGGGCAGTGGTGGGAGCTGTGGCTGCAGGAGGGGCAGCGAAAATTAAAGAAGCAGCAGTCGCAGGGTCAACTGTGGCAGGGACAGTGGGAGCAGGCAGAGCAGAAGCAGGCAGAGCCGTGGTGGTTTTTGGGGGGTTTGGGGGAAGTGGGGTGCACAGCAGGCGAAACGACGTGGTTGTGGTGAGGGTGAGGGAAGGAGAGACGAAGGGACGGAATGGAGAGGAGGAGGGCAAGTGTGGTGGGGAGGAAAGGAGGGGGGAAGGCAGGTGGGGGGGAGAACAGGTGGGGAAGGGGAGTGTGTTGGAAGGGACTGTGGTGGAGACGAGAGGGAGGGGACCGAGTGCCCGCATGTTTCATACAGCCACTGTGGTGAGCGTGAGAGGAGGGAAGGGGGAAGGGACGAGGAGAGCCGAGGAAACACTGAGGGATGAGGAGAGTGGAAGAGAGGGAGAGGAGGAGGAGGAGGAGGAGGAGATGGTGGTTGTTGGGGGCAGGCACGGCCCCACAGCTGCACTGGCAGATGTATTCTCCCTCAATCTTCAGACGATGGCGTGGCGCCATGAGGCAGGGCCAGAGGCACCATCTGCCGGGGGTACAGCAGCAACAGCAGTGGCAACAGCGACAGCGGCCACAGCTGCTGCAGCAGGAACAGTTGCCACAGAAGCGACAGCAGCAACAGCTGCTACAGGAGCAGTGGGTGAAACGGCTGCTACAGCTGCTACAGGAGCAGTGGATGAAGCAGCGGCTGCTGCAGCTGCTACAGCAGGAGTGCCTGTGCCGAGGTATCGCCATGCAGCAGCAGCACTGGGGTCGTCGGTCCTTGTCTTCGGAGGCATATCCCGCCCTGACGCCCCGCCCCTGGACTCCCTCCAGGTCTTCTCTGCCCAATCCTTTTCCTGGCTGCCCGACCCAGCTATTTCCGGTCAGATGCCTGCCCGTCGCCATTCCCATGCCATGGCTACTGTCGGCAACCGGGTTTATCTCTTTGGAGGACGAGACTCCCGGAAGGTGTTTTCAGATCTCTTCTTTTTCGAGGTTTTGGGCAGCGCCTCAACCCTTGGGCTTGGGGGATGTGAGGTGCCTCAAAGCTCTCGAGGTAACTTCACTGCAGGCAGCATCAATCGAAGCATGACCAGCATCACCAACGGCACCAGCAGCACCAACAGCACTGGTGCCGATAGCAGCAGACTGCTCGTTCGGTGGACCAAGGTTTGGGATTCTGCCCCGGTATCCATTCCTCACCGGTTCTCACACTCCCTCACCGCATTCGGTCAGCATCTTCTGATTTTCGGCGGCTGCCCACACTCCCGGGCAGGCCCTGAAATTATTCTAGTAAACACCGTAACCAATGAGGTCTTTCGAGTCCCCGTCTCTCTGCCTCGTGGGGCTTTACCCGTGCGCCACACTGCCAGTGCGGTGGTGGGGAATTACCTGCTAGTGCTGGGTGGTGGAGCTGCGTGCTTTGCATTCGGGTCGGTCTTCAGCCCGCCTTTCATGCTGCCTCTGAAGGAGACTCTTGGGAAAGGGATTCCCTACCCTAGCCAGCAACAGCAGGAGAAGCAGCAGCAGCAGGAGGAGGAGCAGGAGGAGCAACGGCAAGGAGGGTTGGGGTGGGTGTTACTCGTTCCACGGAGGGAGGGGAAGCGGTGGAAGGATGCCTTGCAGGCATGCGGCGCCCTGGATAAGAGTCGAAAACCGGCAACGGTGAACGCAAATGCCAATTGTGAGGCGCTAGATGGCAGCAATACATGTTCAGGTGTTGCTGTCGACGGTGAGTTGCTGCTGGCGCTGCCTGTGTGTGACTCTGCTGTGAACACTGTTGCTGCTATGCAAGGTGTATGCACGGCACCACGAAGCGTGCCGGCGACAACAGCACCAGTAGCAACAGACATATTTGGAACAGCACAAGAGCAGCAGTGTACGGCAATGGAGGCTGTAGCACCAGGGGCAGTGGCAGTCGGGAAGAGAGCATCAGATTCAGCTGCCTCAGGCCGACCAGCATCACAATCAGCAACAGCAACAGCGACAGCAACAGCAACAGCAACAGCAACAGCAACAGCAACAGCAACAGCAACAGCAACAGCAGTGCTCACAAAGCTGCATCTTTTCCCTTCCCCTGCTCGCCCTCTCACTCCCTTTCAACGCCTCCACCAAGCCATCCACTCTCTCCTGCAACTCAAGGCCAGCCAACCTGTTTCTTCGGGGCACAACCATCCCAATGCCACCCACTCATCGCTTCTTTCTCACCTGCCAGCTCGCTGGGAGCGGCTGGGCGACATGGTGGTCCTGCCTGCTGATGCCATGCTGGGGGAGGCTTGGGACAGGCTCGGCCCGGAGCTCTGGCAGGTTATTGCCGAGGCGCTTGGGGCGGCACGAGTGGCTCGGCAGGTGAGACTGGCACCTCTGTAACTGTTTCGTAGCTCATCATAGGAGAGTGTTTGGGGAGGTCCCATGGCAGATGCTACTGTTCTTCTCTTAACTGTGTGTCTCCCCTTCTCTGTTGCCCCTGTCTGTCCCCTGTATGGTCCGTGCAGGCCCCTGTCGCTCCCACCTTGACCAGAGACAGCCGCCTGCAGCTGCTGCTGGGGTCCACCTCGTGGGTGCAGCACCGGGAGAACGGCATCACGTACACGTTCGACGCCGCCAAGTGCATGTTCTCCTCCGGCAACGGCACTGAGAAGCACCGCATGGCGGCACTCCAGCTCAACCACCACGAAACAGTCGTCGATCTCTTCGCGGGGATCGGGTATTTCACGATCCCGCTGCTCGTGCACGCGCGCGCGCGCCACGTGTTTGCCTGTGAGTGGAACCCGGCAGCTGTCCACGGCCTGCGGTCCAGCCTCGCGACCAATCAGGTTCCGCCAGACCGCTACACTGTGCTGGAGGGAGACAACAGGGCGGTTGCCCCTGCAGGGGTGGCTGATCGGGTGCTGCTGGGCTTGATTCCCTCGAGCGAAGCCAGCTGGCGGACTGCGATTCGCTGCTTGAAGCCGAAGGAGGGCGGTGTTGCGCATGTGCATGGGAATGTTATGGATGTGGAGGAGCAGCAGTGGGCTGACTATGTAGTGGGGGAGCTCAGAAAGATGGCGGAAGAGGAGGGGAGGAGGTGGCAAGTGACGGCTGTGCACCTGGAGCGGGTGAAGTGGTATGCTCCACACATCCGCCATGTTGTCTTGGATGTCTCTTGCACACCTGCTTTCTGGTAACATAAAAAAAAAACTCGACTTCCTTTTCGAAGGAGTTGGTTTGCGTTACCAGTCTGATCTGGGCAGGGCCATAGTTGTTAAAGTAGCACTAGGCTAGGAGGAAGTGAAAGAAGGCAGCCATGGTTGTGGCGGTGGGGTTTAGCTAGGAGAGTAGGAAAATGTCGAGAGGAAAGAGTGTTGGATTAGGAAGAGAGAGGAATACAAGGAGGGGTTTGTACCCTCTACAGAAAAGGTTCAGTAACAACCTACCAAGCCTATATAAATTATAACTTATATAATTTTAACACACCCCCTAGGCTTGGTATCACACACCCACCCAACACACCACACACCCCCTAACCTAGCACCCCCATTCCAGCCACAGGGACAGCGACACTAGGTCGGTCTGTTAACGTAGAAACGAATGATTACTAGAGGTGGAAACCTAGAACAAATACTAGTTGGTTGTACTCACTAGAAGCATACCTCAGTCTAGCCTATAACTTCTACATAGATAATATGTATAAGTTGACACACCCCCTAGGCTAGACAAGGGGTGAAACTAAACAAGAAGCAAACAGCTCAGGGCGGCACTACTAGTCCAACCACTGAGGCAGGGGTCTGGAGACCAGTCAGCAAGAATACAACCAAAACTGAAGCAAGCCAGGGTGGCACTACTAGTCCAGCCACTGGAGGTAAGGCCACAAGGCCAGTCTGACAAGCATATATAATAGAGAGTACACAATCAGGATCCTAACAGGGGAGCAGCTATAGGAACAAGACCAAGCTGTACACAGTGCCGCTGATGATCTTTAGGCGCAAGCGCCTTAGTAAAGATATCAGCTGTGTTGGCACCTGTGGCCAAGTGAACTACGCGGGCCTGGCGGCGCTGCTGTAGCTCGCGCAGGAGGAAGTACCGCAGCTGGATATGCTTCGCTCTGCCCTCAAGCCGAGGCTCCTGACACAGGAGTATCATGGCCCTGTTGTCAGCGTACAGGACCGGGGCAGAGCTAGGCCGCTCACCTAAGTCTGTGAGCAAGAAGGTCAGCCAGCGGAGCTCCTGTGCCGCCATGGCACCAGCGTAGATCTCAGCCTCACAGCTAGACTGAGCCACAGACGACGAGCGAGTGGATCTCCAAGAGATAGCACCCGAACCAAGGCTGAAACAGTAGCCCTGCGACGACCTGAGCGTCTCAGCGTCGTCTGCCCAAGAAGCGTCTGTGTGCCCAGTAAGGACCACTGGCCTGCGTCCTCCTAGCACTAACCCCATGCCTGATGTACTAGCAAGATAACGCAAAACCCTCTTAGCGGCAGACCAGTGCTGAGGTCGGTGTCTGCCTGTAGCCACAAAGCGAGCCAGGATGCTGAGAGGGTATGCGAGATCTGGGCGAGTGCAAGTCATCAGGTACATGAGGCAACCCACCAGCTCTGCGTAGGGGCCACTGGGCTCTACTGGCTCCTCAGGAACGGGAGCAGAGAGCCCATGGTCTACGGGTAGAGGTGTGGGCTGTGCGGAGGAGAACTGAAGACCGAACCTCTGAAGGACCTGACGCACCAAGTGTGACTGGGTCAGAGTGATGGTGCGTGCTGCTCTGTCCCTAGAGATCTGCAGGCCAAGATAGCGACGCAGCTCTCCAAGGTCAGTGCAGGTGTGTCTCTTCAGCAGCTCAGCCTTCACAGAGGCCAGTGCGTCCCTGTCAGGAGTAGCGAAGACCAGGTCGTCTACGTAGACAAGGATGTAGAACGGAGTCTGGCCGGAACGCACAAACAGTGAAGGGTCAGCAGAGGACGGAAAGAACTGCAGGTCTGCTAACGTGGCACGTAGCGTGTCGTGCCACTCGCGGGGAGCCTGACGCAGGCCGTAGACCGGGCGCCTGAGAAGCCACTGGGTCCCAGGAGGGAAGGTACCAGTGAAGCCCTGTGGTCGGCGCAGGTAGACCTGCTCGTGTAGGCTGCCCTGAAGAAAGGCAGTAGAGAAGTCGAGGGAGTGAAGCTCGTAGTCACGCTGTGCTGCTACGTGTAGCAGCGCCCGAAGAGTGGTCATCTTCGGGGTCGGGGCGAAGGTCTGGAAGAAGTCAACCCCCTCGCGCTGACTGAAACCTCTGGCCACGTAGCGCGCCTTGAAGACAGGCGGCTCTCCAGGGGGGCGCTTCACCTTGAAGAGCCACCGACCATCGACTACGTTCACCCCAGGCGGGGGAACTGCGTCGACGTAAGTGCCGGTGGATCTCCAAGATGCCATCTCCTGCTCCATGGCAGCTATCCACTGAGAGGCCCAAGGTCCCGAGGTGGCCTCAGCGTAGGTGCGAGGGGTCGGGATGTCGAAGGCGTCTGGGTCACCCTCAGGGACTAACAGCATGGAGCAGAGATGGGGAGCAGCCTCGGAAAGGAAAGCCAGCTCGTACTGCCTGTCCTCTAGGACGTCACTGCCAAGGGCAGGAGCACCCCCGACGGACAGAGGACGGGCAGGGTCAGAGACCAGAGCGGTAGCGTAGTCAAGGCGGCGGGTAGAAGCGAAGTCAGCGACAGCAGCGACAAGCGCGTCAAGGCGCGAGACAGGAACAGCAGGGTCGGTAACAAGAGAGGCAAGGACCCGAGGGACAAGGGGACGAGCAGCACGGAGGTAGTCAGAGAACGGAGGAGGTGCAACAGCAAGGGACGAGGGAGGAGGGGACGGGAAGAGGGGAGGACGAGACGAGTGGGAACGGAGCAACATAGGGTGGGTGGGCAGGACAGGAGAGACGGGACGAGCACGGGAGGGACGGCGAGCCCAAACGTGAGACGGAGGGGTAGGGTCAGGGGACAGCGGAGGAGACACAGGAGGGGAACGAGGAGGAAGACGGGCCGGAGACGAGTCTGGCGGCGGGAACACAGGACCGTAGACAGGGAGGTCAGGAGGCGGTGGGGGAGACACCGGCGCGCGGTCCGGGGAGGGAAGGCCGAGCAGGCGGAGAGCGGAAACCGGCGGCGACGGCTGCTGTGGCGGCGACGACGGCTGGGCCGGAACTCTCGGACCAGCAGAGGCAGAACGACCGTCGGCAGAACACTCAACAGCAGCACCCCCAGAACCAACACCCCAAGAGCGAGAACCCCCTCCAACACCAGCGGCACCCCCAGAAGCCGCAGGACGAACACCCTCCTCCACACCAGCACCCCCAGGGGCCGAGAGCAGCGGCGGCAGTGGCGGCGACAGCGGCGACGGCTGCGGCGGCGACGGCGACGGCGGCGGCAGCGGGGTCGGCGACTGCGACAGTGGGGGCGGAGGCACTGGGGAAGGGGGACGCGGCAAGGACGGACCGGGGGTACCACCAGAGTCAGCAGACTCCTCAACGGGGACAACCGACGGGAGGGGAGTGACGTGGGAGACACCAGACGGGGCAGGACGAGGCGGGAGAGGGGCAGGGGCTACCGGGGGAGAGGGAGCAAGGAAAAGGGGGGGGGCAACTGGGAGACCTCGGTGAGGGAAGCGGCGGTAGAAGGAGACGGACTCGTCAAAGGTGACGTCACGAGAGTGGAGGAAGCGGTGAGACGGCGGGTGGTAGAAAAGCCAGTCAGACGAGTCCAGGGGGAAACCGAGGAAGACACAGGGGACAGTGCGGGCAGTGAGCTTGTCCGTGCCAGAGGCACGAACGTGAGCAAGGCAGCCCCAGACGTGGAACGCAGACGCGTCACCGGGGGACCCGGTCCAAAGGAGGGTCGGCGAAACCTGCGGCCGCTGGGAGCGTGGCCACAGGTTAAGCTGGTGAGCCGCGTAGCGAACAGCGAACGGCCACAGAAAATGGGGGGCATCGGCATGGATCATGGAGGTACGGGCGACCTCCATGACCAAGCCGATGCGGCGCTCAGCAACCCCATTCTGCTGTGGCGAGTCCGGCAACGTGTACGACTGGGTGATGCCCTCCGCACGACAGAACTGTCCAAGCCGACCAGAGGCGAACTCGCCGCCACGGTCGGAGTGGAGACACAACACGGGGAGACCGCGGTGGAGACGCGCAGCTACAACCCACGGGAGAAGAACGTCGGGCACGTCGGCCTTCCGCTCCAGGGGAAACACCGTGGTGTAGCGCGTGTAGTCGTCAACGAGCACAAGGAAGTAGCGCTCACCGCGCGGTCCGGGGACGGGGGCAGGGCCCCAAACGTCCAAGTGCAGGGTCTGAAGGGGGGCAGTAGCAGGACGCAGCGAGGAGGAGTGAGGAGCACGGCGGAGCCGACCCTCGACGCAAGGCGTGCACGGTGGCGCAGTCGAGGGAGGAAGGGCAGGGAGCGACGCGGGGAGACCTAAGACAAGACCGTGCTGGGACATGTGACGCAGACGCGGGAGAGCAGGGTGACCTAAGCGGTGGTGCCAGAGAAGGGAGGGGTGAGTGAGGGACCGACACGAGCAAGCTGCAGCGACCTGGGAGGACGCACCAACCGGGGGGGAAGCGGTGTGTAGGGTAAACAGACCGGACACCGGGTCCCGGGGGAACGTCGCAAGGGGGGAACCTGAGACAGCCTCAGAACAGACAGCGAACCGCTCGTGCCCGGGGAACGTGGTGGTGACGCCGAGGTCCTGGAGACAGCCGACACCAACCAGGTTCCTGGAGAACGAGGGAACGTGGAGGCCAGTAAGGGAGCCCGAGGGAACTGCCGGACAGGGAAGGGACGTAGAACTGCGCGCGACGACCGGACCCGCAGAGGGGTCAGCGAGAGAGACAACAGCAGGTGCAGCAAGCGGCGTGAGCGTGGAACGGTCGCGGAAGAAGCAGGCAGAAGCACCAGAGTCGAGAGTGAAGGACAGCGACGCAGTGGCGGAGGCCGCGGACGGAGCCGGTGCAGCGACTAGACTAGGCAACCTAGGCAGTCCTACGCCTGTCGCAGCAGGGGAAGCTAAGCTACACAAGGGTGAAACACCTAAACTAGAGTACACATGGTAGTAAGATCTATCAACACTAGAAGCGTCAGCATACAAAGCATGCAAAGCAGCACCTATCTGATCCATGTCTAACTCAAAGATCGGCACGCCCTGGCGGAGCAGGCTGTGCCAGTCAGGGAGGTCCGGGGCCGGGCCAAAGCGACGACGAAAAAGATCGTCGAGGCGGCGGAAACAGTGGGCGGTCGGGTGCGGGCGGCGGCACAGAGTGCCGCGGAGAGGCCCGGTCTGAAGCTGGTACTGGCAGGTCACAGCACTGGAGCCGCTGGTAGACGCCAAGCTGCGCGGGCCGCCACCACGGCCACCGCCTCCGGAGGTGCCGGGCC